TGAGAAAGTTCAGGGGGCGGGGGGCGGGAGGGGCAGGCTACTTGCGGCGGGGGAGCCACTGGCTCCGGCTCTTTTGTCAGATAAAGGGCGGTAGTGGAAAGAGGTGCCGGGTGCGCCCCCCGGCCGGGATCGTCGCCGCGGGCGGTGACGACCTCGGGACCCTGGGGCGAACTGGCGTTTGCGGGAAGGCGCGCCGCGGACTTGAGCGTTCCACCTGTTCTGGCGGCACTCTGGGCCGCCCGGGTGGGTGGCCGGTGGGCTTTGGGGGGTCACTTCGACTCTTCTCCTGCCGTGACGGCGACTTTTAGGTTTCCTGCCTGCTGGGTCCGGCCACAACTTTACTCTTTTTACTGAAGAGCCCGACGGGTGGCTGCCTCACCTGAGGACCTGTGCATGCCTCTTGGCTCCCCAACCCCCCCCACCCGGTCCCCTAGTCTCTCTTCCTGGCCACACCGAGGTTCCTTGAGGTCTCTTCTTTACCCGTCACACGTTCCCCCGGCTTCGGGCACCAAAAAGTTGGAAACGTCCAGCTCCGGGCGTTCCTGCATCCCGCACTCCGGGAGAGGCGGTCGAGGGAGGAAGCACTGGCGAGAGTTGGGATGCAATCACTCGTCTCTTGGCACCTAGCGGTGGTTCCTCTGCCACCTACTCCCCCATACCTCCAGAGGAGCACCTTAGGGGGCAGAGGGCCTCACCCCCACCCCTGCCGGCACACAGTGATCCCTGAGCCCGGACTCAAGGGCAGAGACTGGGTTAGCCGACTGGACACCGGGATGTGGCAGGAAAGGAAATGGAGAAGGAACGGAGGAGAGCTGTCGGGGATTTAGGAGGTGGGGGTGGGGGGTGCGGTGGAGAGGTGAGTGACTGTAGATAAGAAACAAGGGCGTCCTGGGGGGGACGATCTTGACTGACCCGCGCGCTGCGAGTGGGGCGTCGTGCGTGCGCTCCGGCTCCAGCTGATTGTTCTGGGTTCGGCTTGGTTACATGCTCCGCTGTTCAAAGTATTTCAAGAAACTACACTTGGGCAATTGGCGGATATAAAGCCTTCACTTAGTAAGAGATCCCCCGTTTTTTTCTCTTCTGTCCCATCTCCCCACCCCATCCGCTCTCCCTTCGGTTTTCCCTGCCCCGGTCTGGGGCTACCAACCTGTCCTTTCTCCTCTCTGCTCCCAACTTTCCCCCTTATGGCTGGGTCCATACTTTCCAAAAAAGTCCTAAACTTCTAGCCACCTCGCGGAACCGGCACTAGGACCTAGGGCATAAAAGCCTCTCACTCTCCTTACGTTTTAGAACGGAGAATGGCAGGGCGGGAGTGAGTTGTCGCTTGAGCGCGCCGTTCCTGAAGAAGCAATTTGTAGATGACTGTCCAGGTTTGCCCTGGCGGTCGATTCTGGGACCCCGGGAGCTCGAAGAATTGAAAGCTAGGCGCTGGTCCTCATGCTCACCTTGAGAGAGCCAGTTTAAGCCCACATCCCCGTGCCAGAGGCAGGCAACCTCCCCACAATGCCAAGGACCGCGTCTTCTAGCTTGAGGCAGCTCTCGGGTGGCCTTGGGTGGGAGGTGGCGGGCGAAGAGGCAGCAGTCAGGTCTCCCTGCAGCCCTTCCTGGCTCTCCTTCCCTGACCCCTGGTGTCTTTCCTTAGCGCCCCCTCGCACTTCCTGCGGACAGTGCCCTCCTGCATTATCAGAGGTTGTTCATTAAGGACGGGAGTGAGAAAAGATCCAGGCTACTCAGACGTCTTGTGGGAGTTGGGGTTGAACTTGAGTGTGAACTTGAGAAGTGAAAGCGGGAAACGAATCAGCTTTCGCTTGTGCAGAGCTGGTAAGCGGCCTATGTTGAAAGAAGGGGCGGTTTTTAAACTGGGCTTTACAGTGGGCCCACTCCGTCGTGTCTGTCTCTCTCTCTCTCTCTCTCTCTCTCTCTCTCTCTCTCTCTCTCTCTCTCTCTCACACACACACACACACACACACACACACACACACACGCACACACACCTCATTCCCAGGTGGTCCCAGTCAGCGCCTGGGCTCCACAGTTTGCAGCTGGCAACTGTCCTGGGTCAGGGCACTTTGCGTCGCGACGCAAACGGGGTCTAGGATTGAGTGGTCTCCCTCCGGGCCAATCCAGCAAACCTGTCCCTGCCCCCGCCTAGGGCATTTAAGAGACTCCATCCCCAGGGTAGTCCGGGGTAAGAAAGGGGTTAAGAGGCTCTGCTCTTTGAGGTCCGAGTCCAGCCCCACAACTAAACTGAGACCGGACACAGCTCGGTGGATTACCCTGACCTGGGGCGGAGGAGGTTGCGTTTGGTGGCGCAGAAAGCATTTCACCCTTTGTCTGCGAGAGGGTACCACAGGAGTTCTAGAGAGGCTTCTTCGTAGATTGCACGTTGAAAGGAGTAACTTCTGAGGGCGGAGGGGAGGAGTTTAATTGGGTCCATCAATAGGTGAGAAAGGAGTGAGCCGAGGTGTGGGTTTCAGGGCTCCTTTCTGAAAGATCTGTCAGCTGTTCGTAACACTGGGGCACCGAAGTGGTCTGATTTTTCAGTCTTGCCTCCGCAGAAGACCCTGCTTCCAAAAACAGGAGCACAGATGTCGTGGCAATCAATAGGTGATTGTCGCTAGGGCGGATTAGCAATCTGGTTTTATGCTTGCTATAAACAAGGATGAGGTTTGGCTTTTCTAAAGTCCAGTTTTCATCTATTATTTGCAGGTGACTAACTGCAAATAATAATTTTTACTAACTGCTAAACTTTCGAAAGGAGGAAGCTTGCTCACAGAGGTATGGCAACCCTTCGAAGTATGGAGCTCCGAAGGTACTGCTGGCAGGGCCTTTAGATTTTCTAGACAAGTTCTCACTCTCCATTTTCTCCACAGGTTCCAATTAAATATTTCTAACCAACATTCCACTTCCCATAATTAAAAAATAAACAGACCATTGCTGGAAGGACAGCTCTGTCAGTAGTCCATTAATAATTGCTCATTAAGTAATCATCAGTAAGCTGTCTTTATTCCAAGAAAAGTCATCATTCAAACCGTTTAAATAAAAATCCCAAAGCTATTGTTCAAGTATTGTTGAAAAACATGTAGCCAAAAAAGTATCCTGGTCCATGGTTACATCTAGTGACTCTCTCCTTCATGGGTGAATTTGTAACAAGTACCTATTTGTGGCACAGAGTGCTTGACAGGTTTCTGAGATAGGCGTTAGTACCACCAAGGCTTTTACTTTTCTGTATTTTTGGATACTCAGGAATTGTAAAAACATGGCGGAAATGTAAAAGAAGAAATTTTAAGCACCAAGCTTAATAAAAATGAGGGATGCAAGATTTAAACTCCTTTGTTTTCATTTTTAAATGATCATAGAAGTTCTTGGATTTTCTATCAACAACAATATAGTTTTTACTCATTAGAAAATCCTTAAAAAGTGGATTTTTGCATCATTATTAAAGTGATTTTATGTGCTAGTTTAATATAAATAACATTAATACTCTTAACCAAATACGAGTATTAACATTTACTTATTGTGGTAACAATTTAGTAAATACTAAACTATTAATAGCCTTGAAAACAACTATTCAGGTGTGCACAGTATTTGCATAGATTATATTAAATTTAATTGTTTCCAAGTCAGGAAACCTAATTTTAATAGCAACAAATATTTTATAGCACAAAAAAATATAAAGTTTCAGCGTTGGTCTTCATGAAAATGACATTTGAACCTTGTTGATAATGCTTATCTTTTTCCTAAAGGTAGCATGTACAGAATTGTAACCAGGATTTTAAAATTATTTAAATGATAAAATGATAAAGGAAGTTTTTCTACACAAAAAGACAAGTAAGTCATTTTTTTTTTCAGCTATGACTTCACATTTTATAAACCTGTATTCACCTTTTAGGATATAAGATGGCTTCTATTGTTTTTATACCTTTCATTACAATAGTTTTAGGAAATAAACGTGTGAATCACAGCACATTCACTAGATTTTTTTTCACTGCAATAAATAATATACTTCTAATCTGAAGTACATATTATAGCATTCAACTAATAAAGAATACTATTATTCTAGTAAATTGTGAAGTTAAAATTATGTATACGTGGGTCTTCTGGGATTCTATAAATTTACAAGTAAAGTGAGGCTTAACATTGTGAACAATAACATCAGTGGCACTGTGCTTGGCAAAATCTAAGCCTTATAGGTAAACATACTAGGCAATAAGAGAATTAATGCCAAAGTGAAGACTGTCAAATTCTGGCCAGGTTGAAACTAATCAAAGTTCATGAGCATATATGTTGCGACTGTAAAAGTTATTAGTGATTAAAGTGATTGAAAATGTTTCTCCTTCTAATAATATGAAGAGAACTTTTTAAGACTAGCCCATTTCCATATTTATTCCACAAAGACAAGAAGAAAGGTATTGGCATTAATTTAATTAACATTAACAAAACATTTTATTGTGATGTTAAGATATACAGAAAAGTAAATATCAAAAATGAAAATTGTGCTTAATAAATAGTGTAGATT